CCCCCAAAGGCTCTCTACCATGGGCCCCATGTGCCAGGATGGTGACAATGGGACTGCGAACCCCTTCTTGCACCTTCACCACGCAAGCCCCATGCAGCAGCAGAGATGAGATCTGCCTATGTCTATCTGGCCTCAGTGTACCCCTCCTTCAGCCTTCTAGGACTTTCCTGCTCCATCTTGAAAGAAATCCAGGTGTCCTACCAGGCCAGACAAGGCTCACAGCTGAGCATGGAGCCCTGCTGGCCCCTCCTTGCACCTGTTCTCCAGCTGCCAAGGCCTGCTTTGAACAAGCCCGTGTCCCAGGGCCTTTGTACCTGCCCTTCTCTTTTCATGCGATGCTTTCCCCAGAGATTCAGGTGGTTAACAGAGAAATGATTACTTCTGAGGGAGAATTGATGCAACTAGCATGTTGAAATTTCTCTTCTTTCTCTGAAGAGCATCTTGCATTATCCTATCCCTAGAATTGGCATGGTGGGAGGAATCAGCCACCTGGGGCTGATAAAATAAAGGGCAGCCACCCCACAGGGCTGAGGGGCTGGACCCTTGTTCTGTGCAGGACTAGGGAGAAGAGGTTCCAGGTTTTGTGGGCCACATCCTGCTTCTGCAACAACAGGCCCTGTGAAAACAGATGGGCATGGCTGTGTTCCAATAAAACTTTATTGGTAGAAACAAACTGGGGGCCATGCTCTTTTCTAGCTGGATTAGAAGTGTGGATTGAATGGAGCAGGGGTCTAGAACTGCTGGGAACACAGGGCAGGATGAAGCAGGGCTGACTGTTCTGCAGGGCCCCAAGCTGTGTGAACAGACCAGTCACTACATCTCTCTGGGTCTCCGATGCACTGCTTCAGCATGGGAATAGCTCCTCTCTCCAGGAAGTGGAAGGGGGAAATGAAACCCAGCTCTTCACTCCCTGCACACAGTAGCTCTGACAAACTTTCTCCCTGTTCTTTCCCCTCTTCCTGACTCGATCTTTACTAAGAATTTACTCTGCACCCTCACCCTCTTTCTGAATCAGCAGTGCCTTGAGACACAAAGGAAGAGAACTGGCTTCCAGCCCGGCAGGATCTGGGTGCTGGCTACGCCTCTAACCCTTGCTGAGCCCTTCTGTCCTCGTCTACCTGAGAAAGTGACTGGAATCAGCCCTTGCCCAGGTCCCGGAACACACTAGATGCTCAACAACCGCTGGGCACCCTGAGCACGGGGCTCTCACTGTTGCTCATCCAGCACCCCCGTCACGCCCGCTCTGTGCTCCATGCAGGGCACGCACAGGGGACCTTGTTCCTGGAGGCTTAACTTTGAGGGACAAGGGATCTTAACTGCGCGTGAGCAGGTAACAGCATACTGACACACCTGAAGGGTACCTGGGAAGTAGAAGAGGGCACGGGAGGAGGAGGAGGCCCCGTCTCTGACACTGGCCAAGCTCTGGTGGCAAGGAGGGCCGGGCGGCGGCTCTGGGACAGCCCTGATCTGTGCGAGTCCAGCCTCTCCAGTGCTCTTGGATCCTGGCACGGGTGGAGGATGGCGCCACCGCCAGCCACTTGCCATTCCGGTCATGTCCGGGCTCCCGGCTCCGGAGGTGAAAGGTACTGACGCTAACCACAGCCCATCAGTGCTCCCCAGCTGGAATAAGACAACACGAGGAAGCAGAGCTGCGCTCCCGGCCAAATAAAAGCCTGTTTGCCCGGCCTCCCTGGCTGTGAGTGCTTAAGACAGAGGGCTGTGCTGTGCGGGCGGATTTCTTCTGTGCCATTATGTCCCCCGGCTGCGCACGCAGGTACTGCGGCCTGCCGGGCCCTGAAAGCTTCTCAGTGCTGCGACCCTGCTGCTTTGTAACACGCTCGGGAAGAAAGGGACGCAGCTAGTGGCGGACTTGCGTCTTTCTTCTCTCCGTGTGCTCTGTGCTCACAATCCCACATGCAAGGTGCCGAAGAATAGCACTTCACACGCTACGGGCTCTAGCCGGCGGGCGGGCAGGCGGGGACAAGAAATCTGATTCTTGGCTGGGGAGGGTGGTGGGCAGGGAGGCGGAGGTGGAGGGAAGAAGAGGATTGGGAGAAGCGAGAGCAGATTTGGGGAGAATCCTCCCGAGGCACCCTCCTGGTGTCAAAGTCCCTGCCTACTTGGGCGACTTTCACGAGGACGTTCAATGTAGTATCTGCCTTCCCGCTGCTCAATTTTACAGGTGCTTCTCAAGCATGGACTGCAAGGGGATCCAGGATGGAGCCACTGTGCAGGGAGCAGGGGAGGAGGCCACCCAGGGCAGGGCAGACAGGAGCTGGAGCTCCAAGCAGCTTCTCTGGGTCCGAGGAAACAGCCTGGGGCAGCATGAGCTCCAGCCCCAGCCCTGGACTTGCAAGGCAGGGCAGAGCATGCGGTGTTGACAGCCATACCACTGTGTGCTAATTAAACTCCTACTGTGCGCTGGGCTCTGTGGTGTGGCCTGAGATGCAGGAGACAGGTAGCATCTGGAGCCAGACACAGACACCCTGTTCTGAGCACCACCAGTGCCTGGGTGACTGCACACACACGCACACACACACACACACACACACACACATGCATGCATGACCCGGTGTGGGTGGGACTCAGCTCTCGGCAGCCCAGGGTTGGAGGCAGAACTGGCACCTTGGGGGCGATGACAAGATCACAGCTATCACATGCCCCGATGCCACTTTCTTCTTGTCACTCCCTTCACAGGCAGCCACCCCTTTGAGCCACAGAATCCCCTGGAGAGGTGGGCATCTCGCACCCACTGCACAGGTGACGCAGCTGAGGCTGTGGGAGGTTTGGGAGGTGGTGGCTGCACATGTGGGCAGCTGGGCACAGGGCCAGCAGGACGGCCGAGCCCAGGGCTCAGTCCTGACTGTGGGTGGCCGGCTCCCCTGAGCAAGCCACCTGCCCCTCTGTGTGGCACTTCCCCGTAAGTTAAATAGAAGAGGGGCAGTGTCTACCCCCGGATTCTGCAGGATTCCGACTCCTAGAGCCTGAGGGAGGCCTGCCAGGTGAGCGCTCAGAGCAGGGCAGCCTCAGGGGCCCCACACTGGCTGCTGTCTACCTGCTCGGCCCCCTGGCAGTCCCCAAGAATGGCGCGCAGGCCGCCATGGCGCCGGCAAGCTTGTCACCGGGCCAGAGAAGGCTGAGGCGCCTTCTGCCGTGGACCTGGTTCCACAGGGGTCCTTTGTTGTGGCTGCCACTCGGTGGCCTCTGCCTGAGACCTAAGTGCCTTCTTGGCAGAGATCAGGCAAAAGCCAGTGCAGAGGCACTGGGCACGAATCCCACTGCCCTCAACATCTGCCAGGGCCTGGGGAGCCGCGTACAAGGCGTATTTAGATACAAATGAGCCAGGCAGTTTTCACCATAGGGAAAGGGCACTGAGGGAAGAGGCCTGGCCAGGAGGGCAGGAGGCCCGAGGTCCATTTTGGACAGCTCAGGTGTCGCAGCACACGGGGGGCATTCCTGGGGCTCCTGCTCTGTGTCACTGCTCCCCACGGGGCACAGCAGCTGCCGGACTTGGGACAGACAGGCTCCAGGTCGGCCCCCCCACGCTATCCGTGGTGCTCCATTTATAACGGAGCTCCTCTCCACCGTGGGCAGAAGTGCAAGCGCACTCCAGGGAGAGTCCCTGGCACAGACATCTGCCTGTCAGTGTGGACAGGCTCTGCGTGCCAGGACTGGGGCGTATGGAGTTGTGGAGTTGTGGGCTTGCGGCTGTGTACTAAGCCCGCACTCTCCAGGCCTCACGTTGCCCCTGCCTCAACTGTCCCCAGCCACAGAAGGAGGGCCGGGCATGTGTGGCATCCGGCTGTGTGGGGCATGGGGACTCAGATGAACGGATGGCTGCCAAGCATGAGCACCATGCAGCCCCCAAGCCACAGCGCGGCAAGAAAGAGCAGGCAGGCGGGGGTCTGCTCTGAGGCTGTGTCAGAGGCTCTGGCTCTGCCTTTCCACCCCAGAGCCTGGCAAGGCGACGGTTACACCCAGCTCCAGGTTCTCCCCATATCGATGAACGCGAAGGGGACTTGGGGGCAGGCAGCCCAGAGACACCCTGCCCTCAGCGCCCCGTGGGACACAGATGACAACCACAGGCACCGGAGACCCCAGGGACATCACGCGGAGGAAGGGTCTCAGCACACAGGTGACCACAACCCTGTCCCGGAGCCTGGGGAGGTGGACAAAGGGGCGCCTGGCTCGGCAAGTGACTGTCACAAGGCCTCTTTAGCCACCCAGCCAGACCACAGCAAAGGGTGTCAGAGGTTCTGGCGCCCTTTCATCTCCAAGTGACAGCTGCCCAGGACCACGAGGAACACCTGCTTGGTTTCCCTGAGCCCAGCATGGCACTGTTCTGGGGTTTGTTCCCGCCTCAAAGACACGTGCACACCCTGCTACTGAAGACAGGGCTTTGGGAGCCGCTGCACTGCCGTCTCTAGGCTCACGGCCCATCTCTCTGGCTCTCAGCTCTAGCCCGCAGGCGCTGGCTCCTCAGACCCACTGAGATCTCAGGACCCTCTGCTGGCCCTGCTGGCCCTGCTGGCCCAGGCCACCGGATGACGCAGCGTCCCCTAGCACCCTCCTCCTGCAGGCCTGCAGCCAGCTCAGCCCGGTGGTGACCCCAGCACACGGACACGGCAGATACCCAGGATCCTCCAGTCACTGAGCCACGGCACGGTCCCGTGGTACCACCATGGCGTGCAAGAGGTGGAGCCAGGCCTGTGAGCACAGGGCCCCGTAGGAGGTGCACAGCCTGGGGACGGGCCAAGGCTGGAAGTGGAATGGGGAGAGTGGATAAGATCGCTGACAGTGGTCCCCGGGCGATAAAGAGCAGTCTGGGACCTGGACAGAGACTGTGTCTTGACAGTGCAAGGCTGGGGGTGAGTCCTGGCCCCAGAAACCTGGCAGGCGCAAGCCTGGGGATAACACCAGCTCTCACGTGCCTGTCCGGGCTCCAGTGTGTAGGACTGCGGCAGCTCTCGTGGGGATCCCCACCCCCATGTTGCTCTTACCGTGGAAGCGTTCAGCCGTTTTCCGCCGCAGGGCCTGCAGGGTCACCTCGGACTCCGCCCACTCCAGGACTAGCCTCCGGCCGTACAAGTGGGTGCTGTGACACAGGGCGTTGAAGGCGCGCTGTGGGGACAAGAACCACAGGAGCGGATTAGTGAAATAGGACAGGGACTCTGCTTTTGGAGTCTCAGCCCCAGGGCCTGGGCGCTGGCCCTGTGACACTGGATCTCCGGTGAAGGGCTGCGGTGTGGTCCGGTCCGGGTGGCTCCATGTGTCGAGCAGGTTTCTTCGGGGACAGAGCTGCAAATGACTGAGCAGTCGATACGGTCACTGCTGCGGGGCCAGAACTGGTGGCAGGGCCCACAGCTGTCGCATTTCCCAGGTTGCGTCCTCTCTGCCAAGGGCGACCCCATTAGCAGGCCGCCCCCACCC